TTCAGTATATTGTTAACAGTATACTGTTAATAGTATACAGTATACCGTTAACAGTATACTAATAATAGTATTTGTATTTATTAGATTAATAATATATTATTTTGATTTTAATACTGTTAATTTTCTTAATTTAATAGCATATTTTTATTTAAAATTTTAAATAATTATATTTATTAATTATATTATATATTTTTATATTTTAGTGCCTTGTTTCGCTCGGGCGAGCGCCTCGAGCGTTTTTGGACCTTAACGTCTTTTGGCGCCTAACGCTTTTTAAATCACTAACGATAAGTGCTAAGGGGAAGGCTAGCCTAATAGAAAATGCAAGTAATGTGCTGAATTATTCTTCCCCTTATTTCCTTATCACAAGCATTACTTATATTTGTTTATCTTAACTTTGCTTTTGTGATCCTTGATACATATATAAGTCCATCGATCCTTTTTTTGCCTTCTTAATAGTCATTGCTTCTTTTTCTTTTCTGTAATATGCTCTTTTCTCACTTGTATTGACACTTTCAAAATAATAATCTTCTTCATTATCTCTAATATGTTTAACATTATCCTTCGGTAAAAGCTCATAAGATTTATTCCTTTATATCTTTTTTTCAATCATATAAGCTAGCAACTCTTCTTTTACATCAGATGGACACTTCTTGCAGGCTAATGCATTGTTGAAATTTCTTTGCTAGATGTTATTTTGCACGAAAAATACCACATCTAGTAGTTTTATCATAAAAGATGCAAGTAATTGTATTAGGATTTTTAGGATCCTTTAGATAATTGTATTTTCAGGCAGGATCCTTTCTTGAATATTTTAAAAAATCTTCTAAATCGCTTTGTACACTTGTCATTAATCCTGAAACTCTAATAATAATTTTAAATAAATAGAGATTAGTAGTGTTAAAATCTAAATTATATATTATCAATCTAAATATAGATTGTTTTATACAGTAATTAAGAATCTATTGTTAACAGTATATTATTTACTGTTAATGGTAGTTAAAGGGGGAGAAAAGTGTCACCGACAATGGAAAGTGAGGAATGAGAGGGCAACAGTGATGGAGAAACTTTGAGACGACGACGACAGTAGCGAAGGAAGCTGCAGATGATAGCCATGGTGACAGAGGAAGCTGCGGACGGCAACAACGATAATGGCAAAAGCTGTGGATGGTAATGTCATCGGCGGAGGAAGCTTCAAAGGTGTCCGTCGGTGGCTGAAGAAGTTGTTGTCCTCTCTCTCTACAATGGAAGGAATCGCACACGGAAGCAGTTGTAGCAGAAGGAACTACGCACGAATGCTAGACCGTCGGACCCATCCATCGGCGATAGAGGAAGCCTCGGTCCTGTGCATCAACGACGGAGGCACCAGTAGAGAAAGCGTCAACGGTGGAGGCAGAAGTTGCATTAAGGTTGATGGCTGGGGGTCATGCAAGGGTGCAGGGGGCGGGTTTTGTGGGTACAGTAAAAGAAAGTAGCTAGTTAGCTCAATCGAACCAACTAGCTAGTGTTCAACCAAACCAGACTTAAAAGTTTGGTTCGGTCGCTTCATTTGAATCGAGCGCTCGCTCGAGGCACCTAGCGCTTGGGTTCAAGCGAGCGCCCAGGCGACAATTCATTGAAGCACATCACCTAGTCGACCCTTGAGATGCTCGGGCTTCGTCTCGCCTCACCTCACCCGAGCGCCTATTTAAGCCCTTGCTAAAATCCAAAGTTGAATAGCAATTTTTGGTGCATGCATCTAATGAGACATCAATTACAGTGAGATAGATTGAAATGAATGAGCATATGTGTGTGCATAACAAAGGCCTTTGTCATACAATTCTCACACATCCTATGGTACGCTAAGCCCTTTTCTTATATATAATCCCTTTTCTTATATGCATATCTATTGAAGGTCTTATATGCATAACAAAGGCCTTTGTGCGAACATCTTGTCTATATAATCCCTTTTCTTATATGCATATCTATTGAAGGTCTTATATATGATAGGATATCAATAGATAAACAATGAGATGAGGAGATAATATCGAGCATAAGAAATTGTCTTAAATAGCAAGAAGTGATGAGTTGTCTAAAAACTAATTAAAACTTTGGCATTAATGTATCCAACAAGCCAAGAATTTAGAAACCCACAGCTTTTTTGTTGATATGGTGCCACTACCAAATCCAATAGATGGTCGAATATCCCAAATATATTGAGCCTTTGACCAAACTTCCATATGTCTGATAATTGGATGGCTAAATCATACCATTAAAAATTAGAAAGAATGGGTCTCACACCACTCACATAATCCACAAAATAGAACTATTGATCCATTAATATGATAATTGATTGTCTATATCACAGTTATAATCTCTTTTCTTTTCTTTTTTTTGTAAACTTCCAAAGTACAAGAACAAATATATATATATATATATATATATATATATATATATATATATATATATATATATATATATATATATATATATATATATATATGTATTTATGTATTTATTTATAGAAATAGGGAAATGATAAAATTACATCAAATCAAGTCATTCACGTATTCTCTAGATTTTTCTCAACAGATAATTTTCCTTTTTTGATAATGTATTTGATCGGTAGGTTTCTATCTTTGTAAATTGTGAAATGTCCTTGTAAAAATAAGATCAACTAGAACTAAAGCAATTTTTTTATTTTTTTTGTTGACTTTATTTTTCTTTTCCTTGAGTAACTTTGATAATTAATGAAGAAATACGGAACTTGTTGTTATCTGACAACTTATAACAATTACAAAATGCCCTTTAAATTATTAAATTTTATTCAAGTGAGAAATAAGTTAAAATTGTCCTGCATTATAGTATGACCAAACCCGTTTTAATCTGATCTGCTTCAGTTTATTTTGTTCAGTAAGTAGAATATTAACACTTTGAGGTTTCTTTGTTATTTTTTATCAGCTAGATCCTTTTCAAGTTGCCCCATTTTGTGTTTTCAATACGTTTATAATGATATGTTAGAGTTATATAATTTTTCTGGCTGTTATGATTTTGCTTATCTGAGTATATCCATTATCTCATATTCCAATCTTGCAAGTCAAAGGTTTTCCAAAATGATTGAACTCAATATGGACCTTTTTTTTCCTAAAAAGCAAAGTAAAATTACCAAAAGAAAATTGTATCTGGTTTATACACCTTAGACATCTAGTATGTTAGCCAGCATTCAAAGAATAAAAATTTCAGTCCGATTTGGTTGAACTTTTGGAGGAAAGAATTTTGGGGGAGAAAAAATGGGAATAGAGAAAAAATGTGGAGACAAGGTTAATTTAGTAAAAGTATGGTTGGAGAGATTTTTTTTTTTTTTTTCATAAAGGGTAAGGGTGAAGGCAGAATTCGAGCCCAGGACCTTGCGATATACTACCAAAGTCCTTACCAACTAAGTTAGCTGACAATGTCAACTATGTTGGATGAGATTTTGAACCTGTAACTTTTGTTATGTGAGTTTGGTACACTATTACCAAACTAATGTTTAAGGTGTGGTTGGGGAGAAACTCGCGGATTGGGAACTTAAACAGTGATTGGAATTGTCAAGTATAACAAGGGACTTGAAATTTGAAGCTAAATTTACAATCAAATCATAAGTGAACAATTTACAAGCAAATTTAACAAGTGACTGCAGGTGTTTCATAACAATTTAATAATTTTATAAGAAACACTTTATCTCGACTAAAACTGCATTTTCCCAGTTCCAAAAGAGAGCTTTTGATAGGAATACATGAAATTGATGCATCAGCTTTTCTGCTGGACCTTGCACCAAAATGGGGTTTCTTTTTCTAAATTCTGTATAACTATGTAGGTCTTTAGGAACTTTTTAACCATAATTTCGTTCGATTAATTGTAGAAAGCAAGAAATATCGAGTGACTATGGTAACTAAATGGTAGCAGTCATCTTTAGTATAGTCCAAAAATGATAGATCAAATTATCAGCATATGATCTTAACTATCGGGGTGTCTCCAAAAGAAGATATCTGTTCTGGTAATTGCTCTCTGATTTCTCATGAAAATATTCTTTTTAAGTAAAATCAGATGATTTCGGAATGTTTGGCTATTGCATCAGTGCTCTCAGCATCATAGATTGAGTGACCTTTTTCGGATATGTTTGATGAAGTTTGGTCGATTTATGTATTAGTTTGAAATGTTTTCATCCCTTTGGTGCAGGTTGATCTGCTTGGGAGAAAAAGAAACAAAAATAACCTGAATCTCCAAAGGCATACTGACAAGGTTTAGAGAGATGATCTTCCTCCTGGTACTGTTTGTCCTTTTAGCTTATCACCATTCTGATTCATATGAAAAAACTGATATCAGCACTGCACATTTGCACTCTATTATCGTGCATCTTTGTAATGTCGAACAGTATGTAGTTACACAGCAAACACAGCTCATTAGTGTTGGATATGTGTACGTGTGGGGGTGATATGAATACGAATACATCAATCATTGATGGATTCGATCGATCGGATTGGAGCCGTCCGTTATCAGAATTATGGAATCTGGTCAAACTATGTGAAGGTGTGGGAGTCACGTGCTATAGATGTTGTGCATAAGATGCTTACAGGTGCATTTAATGCGATGGTATTTTATGTGTGAGCTCGTACGTGCAGATCACAATGAAGTGCCGACGTGGAACGGAGTGGGGGGAGGGGCCTACAGGGGGCTTCACGTGAACCCATATGGATATAATGCATGAACCATGTAGTGGCGCACAATCCCCGAACTCTATCATGTTTGATGTCGGAAGTCAAGCATTTTGCGGTGCTGATATGGATTATATAATGATAATACAGATAATTTCCATGTCACTTAATAATGTTATTATATACATTGGAAAATTGCACGAGTAGCATTTTTTAATATTTTCGGGTATTAGATAAAATATATATATATATATATATATATTATTAGGAAATTCTGAAAATGAGGTTTCAGAATTAGATAAAAATAATAATAATATTTTTCTCGTAAGTTCGTCCAATTATATCGTATCATATATAAAACGGTTTCAGAAACCGTTACAATCACCGTTATGTCAAGGAAACAATGGTCACATGGACTCATCTGGTATCGGTACAGTTCACAGTTCGGCGTGCACAGACCTCTCCACAGCCTCCTAAAATATGTCGCTTCCTCTTCTGGTTTCGTGAGCCAAGGAGATGATGAGGCCTGCGGGCGCCATGGTGCCGTCGAGCCCCGGCCGGGAGAAGCTCCCAGTGCCGGGACTCGCCCGGATCCTGGCCGGCATTGGCAGCCGGAGCCGCGGCCGGCCTGCCGCCCGCTCCGTCCCTATGTTCAGCTCCCGTAACAAGAGCGTCGGCCGCTCGTCTTCGGTGGCGACGCAGGTAGCCGTGGCGGCGGCAGCGGTGGGGGAGGAAGGGGAGCCTTGCTCGCCGAAGGTGACTTGCATCGGTCAGGTTCGAATCCGGAACAAGAAGTCGGCGTCGCAGCCCAGAACGCGTCAGCCGAAGGATATGGCGCCTTGTCAGTGCTTCCACAAGGCGTTGCTCTGCAGTCTTCTTCCTGCTCGGAAGAAGCCCAAGGGTGGGGGCGACGGCCGGTCGCTGTGGCGAAGGTGGGCGTCGCTGGGCGGCCGATCGGGCAGGTACCAACGGCGGGAACCGGATTCGCCCAAAGCACCGCCGTTGGAGTTCATCGTAATAAAGGCAGACGGGGAAGACGATGAAGAGGAGCACGACGAAGACGCACGGCTGTTCGCAACCGCGAGGCCCCCGAAGAATGCGCTCCTGCTGATGAGATGCCGCTCGGCGCCGCACAATAGCGAGCCCTCGCTCGCCACCACCGCCCGCTACGCGGTCTCCCCCCTTCCGGAGCCCAAACCAGGCGAAGTGAGGAAGCAGAAGAAGAAGAAAAAGACCAACGAGAGGTTGAGCAGCCCGGCGGCAGCAGAGTTGGCAGAAGATGAAGACGAGGAGGAGGAGGAGGGAACAGGGTCGGAATCACAGCGGCCGCTGGTGCTGACGCGAAGCAGGTCGGAGCCGGGGAGGAGGAGGAGGAGGGCGGCGGCCTAGGCATCAAGCAAGCACGAGGTGTTCCCATCTGTCGTGTTCCGTTCCTCTGTTCCTGTCCATTTCTGGTTGCCTCGTAGTTTTCTTTCTCGGTGTTTGCTGGCTGATGGGATCCGATGTATGAAACGGTAGTTTGTATATTCCAACATAAAGAGTGTTTTTGGAAGCTATGATTTCGATATCTCTTCGTCTGTGAAGGTTGAAGCAGATACACTTGCAGGGGAATCTGAAACCCTCAGTGGCCGTCACTCTCTGACACCGACAGGACGAAGGGAGAGAAAAAAGATGCTTACGTGCGTCCCTACTGCAGGACAGGTCGAGGTCTTCGGATCTGGGATCGCCTCGACTATGCTCATCTCAACCTGATCTCCTCGCGTCGATATGATCTCTATCGGAACTCAAACATGAGAGTTACTGAGACAAGTGTTCATACAACTGCACTACATCTTCGCAGATGCTAGTATTGCTGATTTCAAGTTTAAACAAACGATACGATCCATTAATGCAACAACAACTGTCTCTCAAAATATTAATCAACATGTCCGACTCAAAATCAAATGATCAAATTGTCCAGATTACACTTCAACCACTACACTACAAAAAAAAGACCTGACACTAATATCTATTCAAAGGAAAATTTTGATGTCATAACTCATTTCTTCTTGGCAGCAGCTTTGGTGATCTTGGCACCAGTAGGATCCTTCTTCTCAACTGCCTTGATAACACCCACGCCACCGTTTGCCTCATGTCCCTCACAGCAAAACGACCGAGGGGTGGGTACTCGGAGAAGGTTTCGACGACCATGGGCTTGGTGGGAATCATCTTGACAAAACCAGCATCACCATTCTTTAAGAACTTTGGTTCCTTCTCAAGTTCCTTACTGGACCGCCTATCGATCTTGGTGAGAAGCTCAGCAAACTTAACAGCAATGTGGGAGGTGTGGCAGTCAAGCACAGGTGCATATCCATTGCCGATCTGACCGGGATGGTTCATGATAATAACCTGTGATGTGAAGCTAGCTGCCTCCTTGGCAGGATCTTCCTTGGAGTTGGAAGCAACAAACCCACGCTTGAGATCCTTGACGGCAACATTCTTAACATTAAACCCTACATTGTCACCAGGGAAGGCCTCTTGCAATGCCTCATGATGCATTTCGACTGACTTGACTTCAGTTGTAAGACCGGTTGGACCAAAAGTGACAACCATACCAGGCTTGAGGATACCAGTTTCAACTCGTCCAACAGGGACAGTTCCAATGCCACCAATCTTGTAGACATCCTGGAGAGGAAGACGAAGAGGCTTGTCCGAGGGCCTTTTTGGTTCCTGAATCATGTCAAGGGCGTCAAGAAGGGTTGGACCCTTGTACCAGTCCAGGTTGGTAGACCTCTCAATCATGTTATCACCTTCAAAACCAGAAATGGGAACAAAGGGAATCTTGTCAGGATTGTATCCAATTTTCTTCAGGTAAGAAGAAACCTCCTTCACAATCTCATCATATCTAGCCTTGGAGTACTTTGGTGTGGTGGCATCCATCTATTATGAAATGGAAAAGAATAATTTATAAACGCATGAAGTTCATTAAAACACATTCTTTGCCAAAATAACTGCAAGCGATAACAAATAGCTCAAACTCAGATTAAGTAACACATTCAACAAAATTAAAGTTAAAGAAAAAGGAAGACCTACAAAATTTATTAATCATTCAATAACAAATTTAATTTACAATCCAAAAAAAGAAACTGCATTTCCAGTTTCTCAAACGAAGTAGCACAACAGATATATAGGATACATACTGAAGAAAATGAAGTGGTGGCATATATAAAACATCTGATGTAAACAATTCTGTTAGGACAAAGTAGAAACAGAAGTGAGATCCAAAAATCGAATGCCACCACACCTTAAAATGGTCATAGTTTTGCCCCAAAAATGCCATGAAGGTAGGTTAATAGAAGAATTACCACAATCAAGATAGTGTTTGAATAAAATAAATGTCAACAAAAGCACTTGAAACTTCTAATAAATACGGGCTAGCAGAATATTTGACACGATAATAGATGTGAAAGGAAACTTCACATTAAAACCCTAGAGCATAAAGTTACATGATGGGAGCTCTGAACAACATAGATAACATTTGATGAATGAGAACAAGAAAAACAATATAAAAAATGTATAAACCATGTGTTGACACAACAAATTAAGTATTAACTGTCGTATAACATAAATTATTAATTTTAACTACGGTCCTAAGGACTTCTCAAGATTACCTTATTGCAGCAGCAAATCATCTGTTTGACACCGAGAGTGAATGCAAGAAGGGCATGTTCCCTTGTCTGACCATCCTTTGAAATACCTGCCTCAAAACCACCTGTAGTAGAATCTATACTGAGAACAGCACAGTCAGCCTGAGAGGTTCCTGTGATCATGTTCTTGATAAAGTCACGATGCCCAGGAGCATCAATCACTGTACAGTAGTATTTTGTGGTCTCAAACTTCCAAAGTGCAATATCGATGGTGATACCACGCTCCCGCTCAGCCTTAAGCTTATCAAGAACCCAAGCGTACTTGAATTACCTCTTGTTCATTTCTGCTGCCTCCTTTTCAAACCTTTCAATTACACGCTTGTCAATGCCGCCCAACTTGTAAATGAGATGGCCGGTGGTGGTTGACTTCCCAGAGTCGACATGGCCGATGACCACAATGTTTATGTGTACCTTTTCCTTACCCATGATGGCTGGAAGGCAAGAATATGATAAGAGAAGATCAAAAATGAAATAAATTAACAGCGAAGAAAACATTTTTTTAAAAAGAAATTTACTTTAAAGACAAGCATCAAGTAGTTGGAAACAAATATTACATTTGAGCGTGTCTCAAATAGCAAAAGAATCATTTTCATTTGCCAAGTGACTTGTTTCTTGATATTACAAAGACAAGAAATGGAAAATATGAAGTTAATCTATCATCACTGGCAACACCAGAAAGAATTCCCAAAATTTCACAGACTTTATGCCTTTGCATATCAAAATCGGGGCTGAATAGACTAACTCCAAAAATCAGTTTTACAGTGGCATTGATCCATAACATAAACTCAAACATAAAACGAACATGTTCCTGTAAATATGTAGAGGGTAATGATATAAACAATTCCGAACACTGGCAGACTTTATGACATCGCATATTCAAGCTGTGGCTAGTGTACTAACTCCAGCAATCAGTTCTCCCCAAAAATAATAAAAAAAACCAAACAATTAACTAAAGCATACGATGAATGCAATCCTGCATATATGTAAGGTAGTAATGATATCCTGAGGCAACCAGAATGGAACGCAGGACATGAAAACCTCCTCATCGATCCTTATTGTATGCCTCTAGGACAAAGCCACAAATAATAACTCAGTCAAAAATACTTGCAGCTGAAAGCAGAGGCAAAGCTTCCTGAGATACATATGCACGGTGACCAGCATACTAACATGAAAATAATAAATAAAAAAAATGATATTTTTCCTTCAGTTTTGCTTCCTGAGATACATGTGCTCGGTGACCGGTATGCTAACATGAAAAAATTATCTTTTTTTACTTCAGTTTCAAAGATAAGAACTACTTATGTGTGCACAACATGCAACAACAGCAGGGAAAAAAATGGCCAGAACATGAATGATTCAGTAAGGAAAGCAAACCAAAGACCATCAGAGCAATAGAAAGTAGATCCGACACCCTTCAACTTAAAGACGAAGAAAAAGACGAGCGGATGGTCGACCCAATTCATTGTAACACATGTAAAACTGCTAGCCCAAGCTCTATCATTCAACTACGATTCCAATACAACGAACGGCCACGTTGAACCCGAAACAGCAAACGATCACCCAGGACCGACAAATCTCACCGGATGACGAGAGAATCAACAGCGGAGAGCCGGCAGCCGAGAGAATCAACAGGGTTTCAACGACGCCCATGTCGCCCATCTTATATCGACGGCCGAAAACCCAGCCTAGGGTTTCTATCCAGGCCGTCGGATTGAAGCATCTGACGGTGAGCACGTCAGATACTACTTATCTAGCCTTCGATCAGGATCGAGCCGACCCTTGCTTGCCACGTGTACTTGTGCCTTCGTGAAAGCCAAAGCAGTGGCAGCCTTGCCCAGAGATCCAGTAGGAGATAAAATAAATAAATAAATACTTGTTTCGATAATATAATAAAAAAATTACTTATATTTATTTTTTGTAAATAAAAAAGAAAATGACTTAATACTTTCTTTATCTTATCCACCTTCTTTTTATTTTTTTGAATATTAAAACATAAATATAGTTGAGGATTATTAATGGTCAACCAATCAAAATTAAAAAAAAAAAAAAGCTCAACTTTTTAGAAATGTAATTATCTCATCCTAAATCTTTATCATTGATATCAAAGCGTCATATTTTGAATTTTTGTAATTATCCCCCCTTTATTTCATCCCTTGTATAATTTTTATATGTATGTAATATCCTTCTTCCACCTCATAGGTTTGTACTCTCTACTTGAATTCAATCTTATAGGAAGAGAGGATATGGAGCCAGCCTTATAAGTATATTCGATCGTTTTTTAGCAGATGTCTTAGAGAGAGAGAGAGAGAGAGGGAGGGAAGAGGGATGACCTTTGGCAGCATGACGTCGAAGCAATGAGCATAACATAAGCTTATTATTATAAGACGATGCAACATTGCTAACTATCACCATGCTGAGATAGCAAGCTTTCACGGACGCTGCTGCCGAGAAGTCTAGACCGAGAAGAACATAGTAGATCAAACTACGTTGACTCATGCATGAAGAATTCACAACCTGTAGTCAAGCAACTGTTGGTAGCAATTAGTCACCATGCTCTGCTTCAGACATGAAGCTTTGATGCCCAGAAATGGTAGAAGAATTAGGAGATGGAATTAGTGTTTGCAATCAATTAATGCAGATTCAAATCTTAATAGCAAATAACCCTAAGAGAACCACCTCAGCTTCCACAGCAACAACAGTAGGTGAGACAGGAGGACCTTCTGCTCTAATGCCATGTTAAGCTATCGATCACTATCGATCGATCCATTCAGAAGCTTACTATCTGGATAAACATGTACACGATCCAACAGCCCAGCCATAGGTGACTCTTTATTTGGATCGGACATCAGAAGTAGCCCAT